CACATTAAACAGCGCCAAAACGGCATTTATTGTTTGAATACTGCAATACAATGGACAGAATTTGAAATCTGAGACTTTGTTTCATATTAAAAGTACCAAAGCACAATGCTTATTGCGATATATTGGATGGGAAGTGCCCTTCAACGTTCCATACATTAACTGAAAAAAGGCTAGACTAATCGATTCTTGGGATTTAATAATCGATATCGTTCCGTAAAAATGAGAATTGATTATTATCGAGATAGCGATATTTTTTACCCTGCCCTACTTACTACCATATTTAATTTTTGACGGGAATGAAAACAAAGCTGTGAGGGTACAGTACAGTGAGTACAATGTATTAAATTGATTTTACTGTTGTTTAAAAACATAGCGATTGTTCAAGTGATTAAATGTCTTTAAAAAAAAAAAAACTTTTAGTAGATAAAAAAAACTCCATAAACAGTATGAAAATTATGAGTTGTGAAAATTATGTGATCTAGGACCTTTAAACAGTGTGTGCCGTTGTTTAAATGGTCTAACCATCACAGCTTCCTTTTCATCCACCTTAAATTCAATATGGTGCCTAACCTGGCTAAGGTCTATGGTAGTAGTTTGTGTCTTAATGTTTACAGTTCCTAAATGTCTCCTGTCTGCTTTGCCCTTCAGCCAACAAGGAGCTCAAAAAGGAGTCGACTGTCGTGTGAGGATGAGGAGCGGCCGCTCACCTCCAGATCTCCCAGGAGGAGCCAGAGGGTCACCACTGTGCCTCAGGTGAGGGTGTTGTCCAGGATGCACTTTCCGAAGGATAGATTAATCTTTTGACATAAAGATCATTGGTTTTGCAAAATTTGAATGTTTGCCATTGCAGAAACTTACAAATGTCACAACACCAGACAAAAGGGCTTCACAGAAAATTGGTCTGAGACTAAGAAACTTGCTCAAACTTCCCAAAGCACACAAATGGTGCATCTATGAATGGTTCTATTCTAATATTGACAGGTATGTTCTGCAGACATTATATTTTCAGTCACTTTGTGCAGTTTTTATGCTGTTAATATTCACATGATTATATTTTAATAATTTTGAGTATTGGAAACCGAGAGTAGTGTCTGCCTTCCATAAATATGACATTGCATTTCCATTATTAATAGATTATTAGTATAAATAGACCCAGTAAATGGGCCTAAATAGTCTGCTTGGCTGATTAATAAAAGTGTTTATTGCCCCTTGTATCAGTTCCAAAATCTTCTGATAGTCTTGTCATTTTGTAATAAAAAAATGTCTGTGTTCAAATTTAGTGAATTCTAGATAAATATTTTGTAAATAGTATTATGTATGTCATTTGCTAACTTTAAATTACATTTTAGCATTGTATTGGCATATTGCTAGACAGCTAATATTATATATATATATTTTTTTTTAATGTCTTTTTCATGTTCTTTAGGCCCTTATTTGAAGGAGACAATGACTTTTGCATGTGTCTGAAGGAGTCTTTTCCCAATCTAAAGACCAGAAAGTTGACCAGAGTTGAATGGGGAACAATCAGAAGACTTATGGGCAAACCTCGAAGGTTAACTGACTGATCACTTTTAACCTTACACAGTAATAAATGCCCATAACATATTCATTATTTGCAGTTAGAATATGTATACA